CTGTGGCGGGTGTGGCAGCAGGCCTGTCGCCAAGGGAACACCATCCACTGCCACCGCGTGGAGCCGCCCAGGAAGCAGTGCCCTGGCCTGGGGGCTGGCGAGTGAGAGGAGTGCGGGGCTGGCGGTGCCTGAGAGGCGGCGCCCGCAGCGAGGCTGACGTGTCCCTCACAGTTACTGTCACGCAGGAGCAGTCGCGCGAGTTGAAAGTTGTGTTTTTATTTGGGTGCTGTTTTACTTGGTTTCTGTTACATCTTTTCAGAAAAATTACTAAAATAGAATTTATATTTAGTAAGTACATTTGTATCTGGCCTTACATTTTATTTTATCCTAAAGCATTAACTGGGGAATACCATCAAGGCCAAAGAAATGTGTAAAGTTTTAAGCCTGCATTTAAACTTCAGGAAGGTCTAAAGTACAGAAATATTACATACTGGCAATGTCCCTTAGACACATTGATGAGTTGTAGTTTGCATTTATTTTTACAGATGTCTGAGTGTGTCTACCTAGTTGACAGAAGTTAAGTTTATGCTTCTACATAGTGAAAAAAATATTAAAGTAAATGTGACTTAAAATTGTAACTATGGTTAGCAATTAGCATTTACTCAGACTATGGGTCACATTTGTAAAAGCTGAAGGAGGACATATAATCAAGAAAATAATATATTCGCTTAAGCTAATTAATGCCTAAAAGTAGGCTGTGTCTTTTTGTTCAGAAAATTGAGGGTCCTGAAGATACTGTGTCCACTGTTCCTTTCTCTCTGAGACTTTCAGTGGTCGTGAGTTTTTTCTCATTTTCTTGTGAGATGTACTATTGTATTTTTTTAATCTTTCCAACTCGTCGTCTCAGAGCTTTCTAGCATCGTTTTAGGACAGAAAGTGCACGTCCATTCCAGGGTAAAGTGACTTCTCTCCTAAAGTTCTGTGATGGTTAAGGCTCTTGGACAGCGTGAAAGTGGGTCCGGGGCAGCAGGTGCTGGGTTCCATGTTCACGCCCACGAGGTGCCCTGGGCACCTGACTGCGTATCGGTGGCCTGTGGCGGGTAGAACTGGTCTCTCTCTCTGACCTGGTTTCGCTTACAGTCACGGAGCCTGACCACACGTTGCTGAGGACTCACTGCTCCGGAAAACGCCTGGGGGCAGAATGTCAGGGAAGAGTCAGTCTTAGCAGAAGGTCATCTTGTGACAAAAGAGCAGGAGGTTGGAGGTCATTTTCAGGGTCCTCTCCATTGTTCGGAGCCTGGTTTTCAGGGGAGTGGCCGTGGTTCATGGTTCGTGGCAGGCAGCGCGTGCTCTGTGGGGCCTGGGAGATTGCGTTCTGGAATCTTGTATTTGGTTCATCAAAACTACCAAAGATGTTTGTTTTAAATTCTAAATGCTCTTTTTGCCTCAGTCTTTGATGTCTAATTCCTGTGAACATTATATACACAGACACAATTTTGTTTTTAAGTTTCTGATAATGAACAATGTATTTTATTATCAATGAATTATATATATATATGTATATATATTTTTAAATGTTTTGATTGATTTTTAGAGAGAGAGAGGGAGAGGGAGAGAGAGAAACATTGATGTCATGGATGGGTTGCCTACCATCCTGGGCATGTGCCCTGACCGGGAATTGAACCGGTGACCTTTCAGTTCATGGGACAATGCTCAACCAACTGAGCCACCCCAGCCGGGCCACACTCTCTTGGGGGCTGAAGGTCCTGCTCTTTGTAGACTGTCCTTGTGGAGGCTCGCAAAGCGGTTCCGGGAAGTCCATGCTGGAGGCCGGAGGAAGGGAAGTGTTTGACCTTGTGTCCTTTTGGATTTTGAACCATAAGAATAATGCCTATTCAAAACATAATAAACACTTATAACTTTAAAAATCTTCTGCAGTGGCTATAAGTTTTAAAAGATGAGGTTTTTAAATACAATATTTGATATTTTGATAATATGAAATAGCCTTAGAATTGAACATTTAGTAACTTTCATGTCTTTATTAATTCTGCCCAAAATCTGCAAAGTATTTGAAACATAAAAGCACAATGAGCCCGGCCGGTGTGGCTCAGTGTCGACCCATGAACCAGGAGATCACGGTCCATTCCCGGTCAGGGCACAGGCCCGGGTTGCCGGCTCGATCGCAGTGTGGGGCGTGCAGGAGGCAGCCAATCCATGACTCTCTCTCATCATTGAATGGGGCTGGGGGCGGGGAGATGCAAACATTTCATCCATGATGGGCTGCTTAGAATATTTTAGAACTTTGAAAACCTATTTGGATTATTATTTTTGGAATAAACTTTAAATACGTTGGTTAGTAATCAACCTCAGATAAAATTGAACTTTGAGCCCTAATTCAGCAACACATTTTTTGTTCAAAATGACAAAGTAAGTTGGAACTGTTGCTTGAACTCTCGCTGTGACCTGCAAACGTCACTGCTTGGAGAGCGCATCGCGCGGGTTGCTGGCTGTCTCCGGACGTCCTCCTAACTCTTTCCTTTGCTGTCTGTGTTCCTTCCCTCAAAGCAGGAGCGGCCGTCAGGGTAACAGGTATCGGACTGTTTCTCAACCTCCTACCTGCTTCTCATCTGTCGTAGCGCATAGATGTATGGATCTTCTGCTTCATACATCTAAGTTTCACCCATTTTTAAAGTCACCTGTCACATTAATAAACTCTGTTCTCATATCATCAAACCTGCTTTTTTTTCTTAGTATTTTGAATTTTTAGGAACCATTTTAGTTGTTCTTGTTTATGCTTTATGATATTTTGCTTTTTTTTTTTAATGAAAATTAACAAGACTAAAACTTATAACTTCAATAAGGTCAGCTTTATGTATATGAAAGTCTATATGGCAAAACTAAATTGATTCCTGGCATAATTAAATTTTTTCTTGGGTTTCTTTTGGGAAAAAAATGTTTTCAAATAATTTTAGTTGCAAGATTGTTTTTAGTAAGGAAGACTCGATGGTAGAGAGATGGAAAGTTAATTTCATAACGGGGTTAGTTAAAGTCCCTTCCACACCGTTCTCTGTGAACACGCCGCCGGCTGCGGGCTTGGCCTGTCAGTCCTCCCTGTGGCGTCTGGTGTGGACTGGTGTCGCCATGGAGACCGGGCCGGGCCCTGCTCTGCTTTGTGGGGTTAACCATAAACAGCCCAGGCATGACTGGCGTGTGGGGTTGACTGACTTCCCGACGCCTCGGATCAGTTTGAAGTAATTTCCATGTGCGAGCCCGCTTACCTTCACTCACTCCGAATACAGTTTAGAGTCAGACATGTTCACACTCTCATTTTCTACAAATTTATTGTCATTGTTTGATGAAAAACACATTTATTTATTCAAGTGTAAAGTGTGCTGTGGGCCAGCTGAATAAGACACTCATATACTTGAAGTTGCTTCCCTCCCCGTCCTCCGGGGCGCAGCCTTCCCTGTCCTCAGCCCGAGGCCCTGCTCGCAAGGCCTGTGGACGCTGGAGGGGGACCGCCGCCCTGGTTTGCAGCGGCCCATGAACCTTTAGTTGTTGGCTTAACAGCTAAATTCATGTTGGCAGGGCTCCATTGTGTTACATTGCACGTCTTGAGCTAAAGTTCTCCTCTCCTGTTCCTTTCAACCCAGTGGCCAGCCTTCCCTGTCCTCAGCCCGAGGCCCTGCTCGCAAGGCCTGTGGACGCTGGAGGGGGACCGCCGCCCTGGTTTGCAGCGGCCCATGAACCTTTAGTTGTTGGCTTAACAGCTAAATTCATGTTGGCAGCGCTCCATTGTGTTACATTGCACGTCTTGAGCTAAAGTTCTCCTCTCCTGTTCTTTTCAACCCAGTGGCCTGTTTGTTTTATTTTTAAATTAGGCATTAACATCCAGTCATCCACCCAGTTTTCAAACTAAAACCAACTGCCTGGTGAGCTGCTCTGCCCTGTGGCTGGGATCAGAGCTTGTTCCCTGGGAGAAGGTGCCCAGCTCAGTGCGGCTGCGCTTCCCTCCCCGGCTTCCTGTGCACAGGCCCGAGCGACGGTGTGCACTGAGGCCGCGGACTCTGACCTCCAGCCCGGGCACAGCTGCATGTGCCAGCACCGCGCACCACGCCGGGCTCAGCTGCGCTGTGGTCATAGTTAATACACCACGTAGAAGTGGGTTTATAGATGATGGCGGTCAAGGAGCCATTGCCTGATGATTAACAACACACCTGGGTGTTGGGGGACGTTTTTACAAGATGAGGCAGGTCAGTTAAGGAGTCACCCCGCCACTCACCGCTGGTTCTCCGAAGGAGAACCTGCATCAAACAGCAGAGGAGGCCGGGCCGTCCATCCCGGGAGCAGGAAGGGCGCATTGCTCACTCAGGAATGCAAGTGCGCCAATCATTCATGCTCATCCCTGCGGCTGCATTTCCATGGTCACATGAGCCATACCTGAGCACAGATTTAGAAGAATGAAACCACGTCCTCATCACAGATGGGTGTTGAATTTTACAGGGCTTAGCATCACCGGGTTCTCCAGTTTGTGCTGACGTCTAAGAGAACGGGGCATGAGCAAAACTCATTGGCTAATCCCGTACCATTCCGTTTTACCAAATCAATACTTGCATGCACGAAATAAGCTCTATTTATAGTGGGCTTACTCAGTTGGGAGCTTTCAAGAGTGAGATGTTAGCTGTGTTATCTTAACCCACCAGAGCAGCAGGACACAAGCTGCTTCCTATTTTCTAAATTGTATCCCTGCCCCCAAATCGAGAGTAGTTGAGACAGAGCCAGCTCAGGGACCGGGGACAGAGAATGTGTCGCTTTAAATGTGTTTCTGACGGTTCGGTGCTGTTTCTTTCCAGGTGAGACCCAACGGCGTCCCTGCGGTCAGACTGGAATCACCGTCGAAGAGCGACCCGTTTGAAGACCTGTCACTTAGTCTGCTGGCCGTGTCACAGGCCCAGCCGCCCGTGCACCCCGCCCCTGTCCTCACCCCGGGCCCCAAGGGGGTGGTCCCCCTGCCTCCTGCAACATCGAGTAACATCAGCATTTTGAGTTCTGTGAGCTGCATGCCGACACTGCCTCCACTTCCCATGCGGAGCCAATCCCAGGAGAACGTGCGCTGCTCTCCGAACCCATTTGCCCCGACCTTCCCTGGCACTGACCTCTTCGCCGGCAGGATGAACCCGTTCAGAGCCCCGTCCAGGGACGCAGAGGCGGCGGCGCAGCCCGTGGAGCCTGTCCCCTGTGCTCCCCTCCCTCCTCCCGGGCCTCGGGGCCAGAGCATCGGCAAGCCTCCTGCTCAGCCCCCCGGCTTCCAGGACAGCTCCGACCCGCAGGTCCAGGCCACAGCGAGCGCCAACCCCCCGAGGGGGTGGGTCACCTTCGAGGAAGAGGAGGACTTTGGTGTGAGAGCCAAGTTGAAGGCAGCTTGTCCAGACTCCCTGGGCCCTCGGCCAGGCCCGTCCTCCGGCCCAGGCGTGACCTTTGGAGATGACTGGGGTCAAGGGACAGGTGTTCCCACCTGTGTGCTGCCCTCGCGGAGGCCGCCCCCGCCTCCCTGCTCTGCGCTCCCCGCAGGCCCCGCCCCTCCAGCCGACCCTTTCACCGCTCTGGCCCCGGTTGCTCCTGCTGTAGACTTCACAGAAAGATAGCCCACAGGGGACAGCGCTCCCGCGAGCTGGGCAGAGCGAGAGAACCGGGCGTTGTTATTCATTATGTGCAATAGTCCTTGTTCCTGCACTGATGTCAAGAAATACCACTGTGTCACGTGTACAGAGTTGGAGTATGTGTATATTGGAAATAGGGAAAACCCTTCTCATTATTAACTGGAGTTCTGGTGTGTTTCTGTTTGGATAACTGAGAGCAGTGGCCATAAAGAGTGCTCAAAACTACTCTGGGGAGTAGACCCCACTCAGATCCTCGTGAGGCCCCCAAGAATCTCAGAAAGACGCGCGGCTCCCCGCTGGCCTGGCTCCGCCCTCACGAGCAGTCACCAAAGAGCTGTCCGCGGGGCGGGACGCTGGACCGGACTCTGAGAGGCATTGCTAGAGAGAGTGAGTGCACACATGCGCACACATGTGTGGTGTATGCACACACAGGCTAACACTCACCTAAACTCTAGGGCATGACTCAGACCAAATCTGTATCTAAAAGTTCTGAGAGTTCTTTTTTCAATATTTCACTATCAGAAGGACCACTGTAAGTGAAATTTGGACATTAATTTTCTTTCCAAAACTAAAATAACCCTTACTCCTGAAACAGCATTTTCTCTCCTTGCACGCGTGCACGCACACAGCTCTGCACTCCCCACTCCAGGCCCCAGGCCTTCCCTCTGGGACGGCTCCTGGCAGCTGGAAGCACGTGTCGCAGTCACTGTCCGCACACACTCCAGCCCTTTCCAAGGAGCCAGTGGCCGTGTGTCTGCGAGGCACAGGCCATGGGTTCAGTGAGGAATTCAGTGTGTGCTGCCTGCTGCCTGCTCCCTCCTCCACACCACCCCCCCCCACCCCGTCTGCCGCTCCAGGCTTCCTCAGCAGGGAAAGCAGGGGGGAGGGGGTGCTCTGAACTGGGTCTTCCCTGAGGGGCTGGGGCCCACCAGGTGCTGCTGGAAGCTCTCCGGCGCCTCCTGGCGGCAGATTCCCTCTCCTGCTCTGCTCCATCCACTGACCCCGCTTCTATTCGTTTTCTGAAGTACACGGAATTTTTACAGAATGAAGTATTTTGCTATCATTAAGTAATCCCAATCAGAAAATCCGTGAGCAGCTGTTTTGTTGTCAGTTTAAGCTAAAGTCATCTGTACCCATAAGACTTAGGTTAACGCTCCTTTCTATAGAGCGTTGTGTATGTCCACCGAAACCCCGCGTCCTCATTGGACCTTCACTCATGTGCGTCGGGGGATGGCAGGAAGCAGGGTCCCTGGTAAGAAAGTGGAAAAGCACAGAACTGCATTGCACTTCACCACAGAAAGCAAATCCATAGTCAAAGTACTTCTCTAGATGCTTAAATGCTATCACACTCTATTTATAGAAGTCATCCTCTCTGTTAACAGCCAGGAACTTGTGAGTTTTCTATTGTGCTTTTTGGGGTTCTAAGCATTTCAGCATCAGTATATCTTAAACGGCAGTATTACTCTAAGCCATATGCTTCCAATGTGAACTAACTTGTCCAAACTGTGGCTTTAGCTTCTGTGTGATTAGTGTGTGGTATGTGCTCTCTATTAGACAGACAGTTCCTTACCCACAACAGCAGCTCCGTGAGGAGTCTTCCGGTGAACCTGCACTACTGCCTGAAACACACATGCCGTGCGGCACCGTGGCCTTTATCGGAAACTCTATTTGGCAAGTTGCTGAAAGTGCACAAAGCTATGGAAGTTAAAGGTACGCTGCCAATAACTGGCCATTATTCTGTGTCTTACTGAAATATCTACCAGTTCTGTTAAAAGCAGAGCAGAATTTAGACACCAAGGCTCTGTGAATTCTTTGTTCTCGATAATAGATCGCTGTTTACATGTAAGAACTTTATTCTGTGTCTTACTGAAATATCTACCAGTTCTGTTGAAAGCAGAGCAGAATTTAGACACCAAGGCTCTCTGTGAATTCTTCTCGATAATAGATTGCTGTTTACATGTAAGAACCTTATTGCTTATGTGGCATATGATATTTATAACTGTACTTTATAGAAGTATATATTACAGTCAGTGGTATACATTCTGTACATATCCTGTGAAATGTGCTGTCATATGAAATAAATAGACCTTCTTTACCATATCGACCACGTTGCTCAGAAGGGAAGAATTTTTCTCAGCTGTCTTCCTTGACCTTTACTTGACATGTACAAGTTAGGATTAACTCTTGTTATCAAATCAGGTATTTTAGTTCAAGATCTTATTTTCATCCATTTTACTTCTCAATACTCTGAGAAGAAAGATATTGAGATTAGTGATCATCATCAAGAAGCCCATGCACTTATTCTGTATACTAGAGGCCCAGTGCGTGAAATTCGTGCACAGGGCAGGGGGTGTCCCTCAGCCCGGCCTGCACCCTCTCCAATCCAGGACCCCTCGGGGGGATGTCCGACTGCCGGTTTAGGCCTGATCCCTGCAGCAGTCAGACGTCCGTCCCTCTTGCAATCTGGGACCGCTGGCTCCTAACCGCTCGCCTGCCTGCCCACCTGATCACCCCTAACCACTCTGCCTGCTGGCCTGATGCCCCTAACTGCTCTCCCCTGCCGGCCTGATTGCCCCTGACCGCCTCTGCTTCCGCCCTAGCCACCATGGCTTTGTCGGGAAGATGCCTGGTCTAATTAGCATATTACCCTTTTATTAGTACAGATATGCAGTTGTAAGAAATAAAAGATCCCAGGTACCCTTTACCCAGTTGTCCCTAGTGGATGCATTTTGCACGACTCTAGTACAGCACCACAACCAGGACATGACATGGATACAGAACATTTTCATCTCTGCAAACGTCTCCCGCCCGCAGGGCACCCCGACCCCC